GGGTTCCAGTAGCCCATAGTCTATTAGCATTCTTTGTTAAAAATTAACAGAATCGCATAAATTCACATTTTTGGTCTCAGTTTGCATAATTTCAGAATTTTTCTTTGCATAAAACGACGGGGACAGGCAAATTGAGCAAGCGAAAGGAAACGGATGGTCACAATCCCTCCATCACAAGGACAAAGTATGCCTCTCTCTCTCTCTCTCTCTCTCTCTCTCTCTCTCTCTCTCTCTCTCTCTCTCTCTCTCTCTCTCCTGTCCCTGTCCGTCCGTCCGTCCAGGCCGTCTCTCTCTCTCTCTCTCTCTCTCTCTCTCTCTCTCTCTTTCTCTCTCTAGAAGTATGTAGTGTTGTGTTTAGGCTCTCCTCGACCATCGCACGTAGAAGACCGAGTTTGATTCCCGAGTGAGGAAAAAATATATCGAGTCACATACACATACACACAAATACATACACTCACAAAAAAAACCACAGACAGTACACACAAACACACGCAAACACACACACACACACACACACACACACACACACACACACACACACACACACACACACACACACACACACACACATATATATACACACACCGTAGAAGCAACAAAGAATGGACACATTTAAAATGGATCCACAAGCCAAGACTAGGAATGCCAGAAATAACCTTTCTTTTTACTCAATCTAATTCGATCCTAAGCAGTATAAAACTAAAACAACAGGAAAGAATAACCAAAATCCATCAACAAACCACTGATTTATGATTGTTTAAAATTTTAATAGCTCATGAAATTGAAAACATCGTGGTCAAAATGAACTGCCATGTTCAAGTAATTCTATGGAAAATAAAAAAAAATATTAAATATCATCACTTTGACCTTATGCAGTTGCGAGCGCCGTAAAACCTCTCCTAAAACTAAACTAAAAACTCACTTTGACAGTCAGTTTTTTTTCTTTTTTTAAGAACATCATGCATATATTAGTAGATTTTTAGATCTAGAATCTAGTCCTCTTGATTTCAAAAGATTGTACGATAACAAATTTTTAAAAACTAGATCTATGACTCCCTTTTAAAAAATTTGAAGAGAAAAAAATTACCAAGACTGGCGTGTGATGGGCCTCTACTTCTGGCCCATTTTTTAGGAAAAGTCCAGGAAATACCGTGTAACTATTGTTGTACCATAATAAAAATTCTTAAATCATTTGAAATGAAATAACGATCAATTTTTTGGTGCAAAACTTAAGTCTTTAGTTTAGTAGAGTTTTTATGGCGCTCGCAGCTGGTCATAGAATCTATATAAACACCAAAGGGTGGATGTCAACAGAGAATTAGTCTGTGCAGGGAATCAGGACTCTGCTCACGTCTCTAGCTTCAACAGCACTAACGTCACAAAGTCTGCTTCGACTATCAAGGCACCCCAGAAATAGATGTTTTGTTTGTTTTTGTAAAGTGTTTTACGGCGCTCGCAACTGCATAGGTCATATGAGCGCGCGGGATACTCCTACTAATATTTTCAGTTGGTAGGAAATTTTGAATTTTGCCCGGGTGGCGGCCGAAGCCTACTCTTATCGATTTTAGACCACCAAGGGATCTTTAACGTGCGCAACTTGCACACGGGCCCTCCGAGATTTTTCGCCCTTGTCCGAGAAGGCTAGGTGTAGATCTTTCCCACCAGAAGATCAGGGGTGTGGCAGAAAGACAGCAGTAAGGAGGAGCCAAGGAGTAGCAGTAGAAAGGCTGCAGAAAGAGTCAGGAGCCCAGAGGAGGGGGCAAAGGAGGTGAGGGGGTGGGGGCAGAAAGTGGAAATGAAAGCAGACAACAGAACATTGCTAGAGAGCAGGAAAGGAGGTGAAAGGAGACAATTTTAGAGCAGAAAATCTTTCGGTCGCTACCCGGATTCGAACCCGGGACCTTTGAATGAGAGGCCAACACCTTAACCTCTAGGCCACGAGAGCCCCCCCCCCCCCCCCCCCCCCCCCCCCGGAAAGGAGGGCCAAGAAGTTCATAACTAAATTATTTAAAAAAAAGGGAAAAAAACTTGTTATCTTTTGAATGTCCTCGCAAGTAGGGGGGGGGGACCAAAAAAAAATTTCGGGGGATCCAGGGTCGGGTTAAGAAACTCAAACTGTTTATTGAATTCATAAAAAAAATACGCCGCTAGAAAATTTC